CTCTCTAGTTTGGGATTCTTCAGCAGTACGCGCTCATGACCCCTGACTGACTGGTTTCAACGTAGAACTTTGCACCGATGTGCAGCAGTTCGAGTCACCACACTTCACTCGGCACATAAAGCCAGAAAAGAAAGTAAAAAGAAAAGCAAAGTAGAAACAGTAAACAGAGATATGAGGCAAAAGAATAGTAATATCGAAGAACAAAATAGTTTTATTCGAAATTACAAGTCACAAGGAGTGGATGCATCTGCTCCGACCATTGAGAACGATTTTGAGCCATATCACCGATTGTCTTCAGTCACTGGTGCTTGTCGTCCCGAAGACCCTAACCAGGAAGTCTACACCTTCCTATGTGGCTGGCTGCTTTAAAGTAACTATTGTGGATTTCATTGACTGATGAAGCAATGTTTTGGTTTGACCACCACTGGCTACTTTCCAGTCTGACCCTATGTCAGCTAACATGGCCCGTCGAGGAAGGCGGTGGCTAGACATGCTCATGACCCCACCGCAGATGGTCATGTTTGATTAAATGAATACATATGTATATATGTTTGTAATCACCTAACCTAACTACCAACATCAGAGAACCTTGGAGTGAATGCTTTCATTCCACTGAAGTCTTACCTCCAAGGAATCGATTCTTATCAGATGCATAACTTACTACTACCACTTCTTGTATCGTTAGCCATAGTGTGGTATTTTTACTATGACGCCAGGTAGCTTTACAATTAACCAATGAACTTCTTTTAAATGTTATCACCGGATAGCTATTGCATCACTGCAGTATATTAGTTCAATTATACACTGTCCAGCTTACTACTAAGAATTAATGGAATAACGACACCTGAATTGAAAGTGAGAAGTTTATAATGGAAGCGCTAAAGCTTTAGGAGATTTTCAAACCAGAATGAATCACAAGCGCGTAAGTAATTTTACATCATTTTTAGCCCTCACACAGTTGGTATAGCACTAGAATATTTCAAGCAATAAACCAATGATACGCTTTCTTCCAAACAACTTATTTTCGATTTATTATACTTTCTCAGTGGTGATTAGCTAACAGTTGAATTGTCAAGTGTTAGTTAATCGGAATTCGGTTAGCTTCAAGTTCGATCGGAGATTCATATTAATTAGATAACCATTGGGAAGACTCCTGAAATCTAAGACGAAACGGCTAAAAAACAGCGTTCCCTGACTTTCAATGGTTATCTCTAACTGATATCAATCCGTGATCAAATTTAAAAGTGCTTTAATTATTGCAAGTTCGACTTCCTTTCATTAACCAGATGTGTGTTGCTGGAACTATGATTAATATTCTACGCTCATACAAAAAAAGGGGGAAAAAAGAAATCAATACCTTTTCTAAATCATTTTTCAACTTCGCTAATTGTGCTGTCTGTCTATTGAATTGCATTGTAGGCGTAGGCACGATGGCTTTAGCCGACTGTTGTTGTGTGGATCCATCACCAGCGCATGAAGGAGGCTCTTCAATTGGTTTCGATGGCTTAGGCAATCGAACTATTTGAAGATTAGCTATAAAAGAAAACATTTCTTTTCGAAATGCATCAACATCACGTAACACCTGTGATATCATAGGCTTTTGTTCTTTTTCTACTTCTTCTTCTTCTTTTTCTTCTGTAGTGGATGAGGGTTTAGATTCATTATTCGCGGTATCATCAACAGCTTTCAGATATTGACGACGTATTGGTTTTTGCAAAGTTCCAAGACTTTTCATTTGATTCTGGTTTAAAAAACACGTGAGAAAAAGGGGACCGCTAAATTAACTGGTTACAAAATTACTATCATTTGGAATATCTCACCTCCATAGTTAAAAAACGACGACCATAAATTTATGGAGACAGTAACTTGTCGCAGATCGATTTAAGAGGCAATGAACGCGTAAGTAATCTGAAGGTTACAGGATTGTCATCATGAGCTGACATTAGTTAGAGAACCATTGGAGGACCTGGGAGTACTGGACAGCTGTTTCGTCCTAGTTTGGGACTCTTCAGCAGTACACACCCACTGGGGTTCGAACCCAGGACCTCCCGGTTACAAGGCAAGCTGGCTCGTATACCATTAAACCACTGGGACCCAATCCAATGACCCATGATCGGGTCCCAGTGGCTTGATCGTCGACGAGGTGGCCTTGTAAACAGAAGGTATTAGGTTCGAACCCCGCAGTTTGGGTGCGTACTGTGGAAGAACCCTGAACTAGGACGAAATAGCTGTCCAGTACTCCCAGGTTTTGCAATGGTTTTCTAACCAATGTCAGCTCATGATGAAAATCCTGTAACCAATCAAATACCTACAAACCAACACTTGTATAATCTGAAGGTAGTTGGTTCAAACTCCGACAGGAAAAATATTCTTCGTCAGTTAAAAATGAATACTACCCACTCTATCATTCAAAGGTAGCTAAAATTACTTATTTTGAGGCCTTTATTACCAATGATAATGAAAAGCTGACAGTAAACTGTAACTGCTGCCGTTATCCGTGGGAAGCGAGAAGACAGGCATACACTGGATCAACAATAAAACTCTAGAATGTCTGGACCAAGTTTACGATTTGTGTTCAATGTCGCACAGACTCGAAGGTGAAGAAGTAAAAGCAACAAGTTGACAGGAGAGGCAACAAATGCAAGATGTCAAATGGATATAGAATAGACAACAACACAAATTGGAGGAATGCAAAGGAGGTCACCTTTTTCACCTATATAAGCGGCACAGATGAGGATGTCAAAAGGAGCCAAGATCGGAAAAGCAGGACGTCTTCATTGCTTTGAAATCCACTGCACTAAGCAAGAGGAAAAAAAATCGGAATTTTCAGAATATGTCAGATTGCTCAGTGCTTATATGTGGTTTAGAAAGTTGGCCCGAGTGTCATGAATAGCACTTTCAACAGGCTACTTCAGAAATTTATCAGCAGCTCGATACTGAAGATCAGATATGCAGAAATGACAAGCAACAAGGAAGTCTAGAAGATAGCGAAAACAACTAAGAAACTTATACCTAAATAATATGCGGAAGGATGAGGGGATGGATATCTTTTGGTGATACCACGCACCAGATCCTTGAGTGGAACCCAATCGGGAAATGACAAGTTGGATGTCTGTTGGTAAAATGGGGGAGATGGTGTGAAGAGAGTATTCGAAAGCTTATGAGGCAATAGTGGAGTCAGCTAAAAGGGACTATAAGGCGAACACAATGAAATGCAGATGTGCCAACTACAAGAATTCAACTACTTTATCGAAAAAACGGAAAACTCATTAAATTATTTTTCGTCTGAAGTTGAGAGTATGAATCAGTAATTAGCTCAATGAATGAAAACGTTTCAAACACTATAAGAAAAGGTTAAAAGTAAACCCCCTGCTCATGCACAACACCTAACCTAATAGAATATGAAGAAAATATGGGAAAACAGTTCTTTCAAATAAAAGAACTCAGAGACTCGAATGTATAAAGGATTAGCATAGAAAGCACTAGCGGAGGGAAATGTCATTCCTTGGGGTATGCAGAAATCTAGATTGGAATAGCAGTAATAAAAACTTTGAATGGAGGTCAATTCTTTTTTGACTCGATGTATATTGAATAACAGCATGCCTTTCAATTATTAGGAAAATTAACAGGGTTAAGAGACAAGAAGAGACATGTATCATGAGTTACTGTTCCTCCCGTGATTTGTGAACTAAACATTTGACCCTTACCTCAGGTTAAAGGTCACAACACTGGATCCAGTGAAAGTATGGCCTTAACATCTTAAACTAGAAACTTATCGATTGTTTGAAGTAACTGTACAGTACACTTTAATTTCAAGTGTCATCACCTCTTTTGTGGAGGCAATAAAACGTCACCTTCTCAATCAGTATAGTATTCGAGTGATCAGTGTTATATTATTGTGTGTCAAAGTCACAGTAAGTATTATCATGGATACAACAAATAAGAATACGTTTAGTTTGTCAAATTCGCTTATACTAAGATAATTTATCCATTTTAAGGCTGGTGATTGGTAATAGAAACTATGAATGCTCTGCCGCACTGATTACCTGTTAGTTGGATGCAACTAAGCTCTAATAGATGGAAGTGACCCTTATCGGAATATGATACTGACCTCTATGGTGTCAAACACAAAACGTTTCTAAACTTCAACTATTTACTCATGATTAGCAGTGAATGTCTATGAAGTCTTTGACAGCTGGTTTCAGCCGACCACTTAGAGAGGTGCAGACTGTCTGGTTGGGAGTATTTCGGGATACTAAGAACAAAGGGATGGAGACTATTGGTGATATAGTTCAAAATCGTTCTCAGTAATGCAAATGCATTCACTCTTTATAATCTCCCATATCTATTAAACGCTCATACCTTTCCGTGTTGCCATTCTTTTTCTTTTCTGTGCATTATAACTCTTGTGAATTTCTTTCTTCTCTCTTTTCTCAACTTTCGTGTGCCGTGCATGGAGTGTGGCAACTTGAAGTACTGCACATTTCTGCAAAAGTCTATGTTAAAACTCAATCAGTCAGAAAAATCAACGTTGCTTGTAGGTTGGAGATAGTCGAACAATCTATTTCAATGGAATCCATAACAGGTAATTACAGATACGCTCATTCAGCTAAACACATTGAACACTAAATATCTAACAAATATAAATTTGGATGGAGGATTTCATCATGAGCTGACATCAGTTAGAGGACCATTGGAAAATCTGCAGGGAGTACTGGACAGCTGTTTTGTCCTGGTTTGGGCCTCTCCAGAAGCACGCACTCACCGGGGTTAGAACCCGGTGACAGCTGAACTTATAAAAAAATGTTTTTTACATTTGGGAACAGAAATACAACAGGGTCGATGAATTCGTCCATTAACTATGTCCAAAATGTGTGAAATTTCAGTTACAGAAAATTTCCCACTACATGAAAATCAAGTGTTACAGTCGCTGAGGGGTAGAATGCTTGCCGACCATGCACGTGGTCCGCCTTCAATACCCAGACGACGCACTCATAAACCTCATTTAGCCGGTAGTAAGCTCGATAAAGTGGGAGGGTTGGGTGTTCGGCTAGCCACTCTGTTTTGTAAAAACAACGCTACTGCTCCTGAAACTTCAAAGCTCATGCTTGTAACTGTATGTTCCACTGGGAACGTAAAAGAATGAGAAAAACAACCCGAAAATCATAAGCTCAACAATATTTTGATAAGAATAAAGAGCTTCGGTTATTGTGAGGTAGGTGGCTACCAGAGATTTCTTCGTAATTTTTACAGAATCCACAACTTTGAGGACATCTGTGTATATTTCAGAGAGGAGTATTAATGTACTACACATAGTTTATCATTTATCCGTTAGAAGAAAAACAAAATTTAGTAAACTCACAAACATTTTTTCACCACGTAGCTTAGATACCTCAGAAGACAAACGTCGGACAGCTTCGCGAAGGCCTTTAATCTATGTTAAATAAAAAAACACAACATTGAAACAAAAAATAAAGTCAGTCATTAAAAAGATTTAAGTCTTTATGCATTTCGAAGAACATTCCAAAGGATCTGTAAGTCAAAAAAGGCACATTACAATGCTCGCAAGACACACGAGAATATCAACGTCCAAATCCCGGGTCAACGCCTCTTTAAAACCTCACCTAGTTGTTTACCAGGTGGTAGTTATGTTATACAATAGTGGAGGTTGGACATAAGGCTACAAACCCACTACTGATTCTCTAAAAGCTTGAAACCCTAACTTATGAAAATTAAAAGTTCCAGATTGTGGTAGGATTCGAAGCAATTGCCTCCGGACTATCAATTCAGATATGTATATTAGCTGAACTAGCCTACTTAACTGCGTTATTTTACTAAAACCATTAAGAGTAATATCTAGTTGTCACGTGAATGTGTTATGCCTTACTGTCAGTCGTACTTTTGACTTGAAGACAGATCAACAAGGCAGTGGAGCAGCCTAAGGAGCTACATTCCCATGGTCTCCGGTGACCAAAACAATTTCACATGCTATTCGATCCATTCGGACTTTCAATATGGTTAAAAATGTATAAATATGATGCTTTTTTCTTGAATAAAAAATGCCGTTACATATTTTCTTTAATGAGATAACTTGTCAACGGCGTGATGGTCTGAATTATATAGATATATAAAAATCCATAAAGAGTGACCAGATGGTAGGTGAACTCAATATTTAGGAAGTTTCTCTTCCCAACCACTTTCTGTATTCACGTAAATTATAAGTAGTTAGTGGACCCACACAAACACTTGGAGGATCTGGACTTCGTCGATGATATATGTCTGATTTCCCACAAACTGGAAGATATGCAAGTGAAAAGCAACAAGTTGGAAGAAAAGCATCCAGAGAAGACAGGAGTTCAGGTGAACACAGAGAAAACATATGGTGATGAAGATTCCTGGCCAACAGCAACAACAACAGACAACAATCGGCATAAATGGGAGAAATTTGAAAGAAGCAACCTCCTTTAAATACCTACCTACCTACCTACCTACCTGGGAAGCCTCGTTTCAAATACAAGCGGAACTGACGAGGATATCAAAGCGAGGATCGGGAAACCAAGACAAGCTTTCGTTACTCTCAAGTCTATGTGGAGATCAGCAGCGCTAAACATGAAAATTTAACCAATGACGGTGAGTTTCTGCTCCTGCGGAGAAAGCTATGTAGGTCGAACAACTAGACAGCTCAACAAACGCACCATTAATGAGCATCTTCCTCCATAATTCGGAAAAGGCTAAATAAAATCTGTAAGAAGTTCTACTTTGACTCATTTGATTGATAGCAGTCACCAAGTGGACAGAAGAAGTGCCTTCAAAGTTATCCATCGCATTTCATCGAACCTTTCGAATGGAATTCAAACCCGCCTTTTTACAAATAGCCGAAGCTATAGGAATTCGAGAGAACAATCCTAGTCTGCGTACAAAAGAAGTTTGCTCTACCTTTGCCTAGGTAAATTCTAATCAAAACCCTTCCACCCTCTCTTATTTTCCATTTCCTTCGTAGTTTTATGATATTTATTTTGAACTCTAATTACCTGTCCACTTCAGCTTCGGTATTACGTAACTTTTGAGATTTAACCTAAATTATTTATTGAATCTCCTAAACATACACATATTGATACCTTCATTCATCTTATCACCACGTGCATAAATCTTGTTATCATTATAATCATCTTTATTACTGACCTTCAAAACATTTAACACGTTGTTATTGCTATTTGGTCCATAAACTCACCATCATTGGTTAAAAATTTTGTGTATATATCTAAATAAATTAGAGTAAAGCCTGAAGAAGATCTAAAGTGAAAACAATATAGTTCGCTTATATGTCGTCTTGTTTTAATGTTAATAATGGGATTATTTAAAGTTGTTTTCAGTTTAACTCCATTATAGATAAGATTTTATTTTGACAAATTACACAGTAAGATTAACTGATGACGTTTCGAGCACAAATTATTGCACATAATCATACCAAATCACCCACACAACGTTTTACTTCATTTATATACATGAGTGGAATTGATTGATTAGATATTTGAATGAAAATCACTATAGGATAATGTACATTCAGGAATAATAATAATATGAGTGTTATTGATCAAATAAAATCAGACGGGAAATAAGACGAGTGTTTTTATAGTCAAAATAATTAACTTGTTCGAATATGTTAAGACTATTTATTATCCTCCTCTGATTTGACTGGTGGTAAACTTGAACGTAGATGAGTAAAATTAATGCCATTTGTGAACTAGACATCTACACCCACTAAAACCAATTGGCGATTTGCAATATCCACAGTTCAAGGAGATGAAATTTCATCACAGTTCCCTGTGCAAATTATTTAGATTACAATATATGTTGTACTTGATATCATGAATGGTAATCAAGAAGGCATGCATCGGTGGCACAGCGGTAGAATGCTCGCCAACCACGCATGTGGTCCGGGGCTCGATCCCCTGCCAATGCACTCCTTTACCTCCGTAAACCAGTAATAAGACTGGTAAAGGGGGAAGGTTGGGAATGAGGCTAGCAAACCCCATCCCGTAAAAATAAATACCACTGCTACAGAAACTTCAGGTGTCTAGCTTGAAGGCCTATTTTCCACTGGAAACATAAAGAAATAAAAAAAATCAAGGAAGCAAACATAAATGCAAGACGCCATATGCTACTGATTCATTGGGACGAATAGGTGTATACCACTCACATCAACCAGAAGTGATTGCTAGCTATATCAACGTAGTCTAAACACTGGACGGCCGTTTCTCTAGTCTAGGGTCGAACTCATCAGCGATGTTACTAGGTATGACTTAGCTTACAAGGGGGTGAGACAGTTGAAACCACTCGAAGTTTAATAAGTTAAATACGTGAACTAGCAATATCCACTACAAAAATGACTTTTTCTGAGATATTTTGATTGAAGGGATTATAAACGTCTATTTATTAGAAAGAAAACAAAATGTGAAAACTAACCTCCATTGACATGAATGAAGCATCTCTGTAGGCAGCTAGACGTGCAGGACCAGGTGAAGGTGATGCACCCTCAACAGAAGTTTGTTTACCAACTGAAGGAGTTTCAGGTGTAGCAGTCTGACCCTTAGATGCAGTTTGATCTAGCAAAAGGGGAAAATTAAAGTAACATACATTTATTACTTACTATAAAGCAAATAAGTATGAATATTGCGTAAATGATCAAATACTCTCTGATAATTCAAACTGCTAATTATTTTACCAATAATAATAGTAATAATAATAATAAAAATAATAGTGATACATAATTATGACTGTTATTTAGCGCGTCGGTAGCACAGCAGTTAGGACGCTCGCCGATCATGCACATGGTCCGGGGTTCGATCCCCAGCCAACGCACTCATTTAGCTTGCTAAGCCAGTAATAAAAAGGAAAAGTTGGAAATGAGGCTAGAAACCCCATCCTGTAGAAATTAACACTGCTACAGAAACTTCAAGCCTCTAGCTTGAAGCCCTATGTTTCACTGGGAATGTGAAGGAATAAAGAAAAATGACTGTTACTATTCCCGTGAGTTCGAACCAGAACATATGGTTTCAACAGCACACTTCCATTTCACTCTCTTCTCTGCAGTTGTTTTAGGTGGTCTCACAATTAGCGGTGAGCTTTCATTCCCTCTTCATAAGATCCCCACGATGGCACCTTCAGATCCACATGCAACTTGTCATTCTTCTATTCGGCTTACTCTCGAGTATCTGGTGCATAAAACATATTTTGGTGAGCTGGATGATCCAGCTCAGAGTACATAAACTACACCAAAATTATCCACCTGAACTACAAATTTCCACCATTGTATCTACAATCATACATATCCCAAGGTAAATTCAAGTGAGGATAAACAGTGACTAGGGAGAACTGTTAAGAAAATTAAACTGTCTTATATATCAGTGTTTAGTACGTTTTGACAGCTGTCCTCCAACCAATCGAGGTTCGCGTAGTCGACTGGTATAAATAATCTGTCTAGATGTTGTATTATTTATTGTTATTTCTCATCATTTTTACTAATAAAAGTAGGACAGTATCGACAGACACCTTAAAAGCCATTTTATCCATTGATAAATAATTTTTAATATTCTACGATGTATGAACCGGCTTACAAGTGCTATTAAGTTCATCATATTTGTTGTATCATACAACTCTTTCCTACATAAACTATTTATTAATATTAGCAGTTAGAAAAAAGGTGGATATATATGAGAAGCCTATCTGTTGTCCAGTATTTTAGAAAGTATTATACCAGTATTGTAGTTGGGTTACGCCATTATTGCAAAAGGTTTGGAAGGGAGGAGATGTGCCTACCGATTGGAAGAAAGCCTACCTTACCTTGTCAAGCTACCAATGAAGGGTGACCTACACCTCCGCAACGACTGGCGTAAACTACTAAGTCGTGTCATTCTGGGGAGAATAAAAGATGTACTGGATGCAGAACTTCGCCCGCCGGAGCAAGCTGGATTCAGGAAAGGTAAATCATGTGCTGATCAAATTGCAACTATACGCATCGTCATCACAGAATGGCGGTCAAACATATACCTCAACTTCATCGACTTCGAAAAGGCCTTCACCAGTAATTTAGAAACTACTTCAACACTACGGCGTACCTCAAGTCTTTGTCAACCTCATTCAACAGCTGGCTATATAGCAATGCCACGTGTCAGGTGATCCATAACAGAAAACTCAGTGAGGCGTTCGAAGTGAATACAGGAGTAAGACAAGGCTGCATGCCTATTATCACCGATGATATTCTTAATTGTGGTGGAGTAGATTATGCGTCAGACTGTTGGTGGCGAGGAGTCAGGAATACGCTGGACCACAGATAAGAAAACGCTAGAAGGTCTGGATTTCGCGTGTGGATGATTTGTGTTTAATGTCACAGACTACAAGACTTGCAAGTGAAAACCAAAAAAACTGGTATAAGAAGCAGCCAGTGAAGACAGGACTCCAGGTGAACATACAGAAGACGGAGGTGATGAAGATGACCAACCAACAGCAACAACAACCAGCACCAATCACTATCAATGGGAGAAACTTGAAAGAGGTTACTTCTTTCATTTATCTAGAATGCACGGTTTCAATCACAGGCAGTTGGAACAGATGAAGATGTTAAAGCCAGCCAGCTAGGATCGAAAAAGCGAGATACACCTTCATCAACCTAACCTGAAACCAGTTTGGAAATCTTCTGTACTCAGGCAGCATAAAGACCAAGATTCGCTTTTCAATACAAATGTCAAGTCAGTCAGTTCTTCTATACGGGTCAGAAACTTGTACTGCACGTCACAAAAAGAGTTTCCAACAAGTTACTGCAGACGTCTATCAACAGGTACCTTCGCTGGTTCCATGTTGAAGATCAAGTGGCTAGCCAGAAAGAATTAACAACAAGAAACCCTAGCTGGCGACCAACTAACCAAGAGCCGATCGCTCGACAAATATATAGGAGAAAATGGAGATGGATCGAGTATACGTTGAGGACGCCGTTGAATGACATCGCGCACAATGCAGGGTTCCAAGTTTCAAGCGCTAAATTTTCAGTAGAGGTAGTGTTTTTCTTATAGAGTAAAGCCTGATTCCTGACCTTCATTCTTCACTGGGCTTACTATCAACTAGTAAACTAGGCGAGATTTTAGGAGGGCATTAGTCAGGAATGGAACCCAAACCACGTGATTGGCCATCACTCTACCATTCAAAGATCTAAGAATGTATACAACTACAATACCTTTGAAAGTATATGCACTACACATAAGCATTAACTGAAAACAAAACTTACCAGTGACCAATGGAGTTTTATTGATTCCTTCAAATACGGCATTTTTACTTAAAGTCTCCAATTTCTCTTCAAGTTCTGCTTTCTCATGCTCTAAAGCTTCGATATCCGCTCGAAGTGCATCAAGGGTTTGTTCAAATTTCCTGGAAGCCAGAAGAAATGAAGCATAAAAATTAACAGCTATGATGGTTTAAACACATTGACAATTTCTTCCCGAGAAAAGACATACATCATAAACAGATTATTCTTTAGAACTAGCGCTTTTTGCTGATTAGTTCAGTTACAGTAATTTAGAGGGTAGTATCAAGTAAATTGGTCTACGAGCTCGTCTTGTGAAAAGAAGGTCCTGAGCTCAAACTCCGGTAGATGCATACTGATGAAGAGACCCCACTTAGGACAAGACAGATGCCCAGTACTCCCTGGTTTACTATAGTTCCCTAACTAATATTGTGGTGAGAGCTGTCTGCTAGCCAACATAGGTAGACGGCAATTTACATTAATGTTTACGTCCCAAATTTTGGTCATGAGAAAAAAACAAAAACAAGGACTAACTCAACAACCAATCACAGCAGACTTCGCTTGGGCGGATATGATTCGCAGATATATGGTCTAACCTTCAAAGAAACGGCCACAAAGAGATGACAGAATAACTTCCAGTAGGAAAACGACCAATCGGAAGACGCTGTTTCTCTGCTAACAATAACACTAACAATAATGCACATAAAAATATATAAATATCCCTTGATTTTCTCAACAAACGATCTGTTGCCTGACATATGTCTTCTGTCGTTACAATATCGGCTCGTGATCAAATCTCGAACCAATCAAATTCCTATATTAAAACAACACTTGGAAGTTAAGAATATAAAATAGGAGACACTAGATGACATCGTGAAAAGTCTATCATACCAGCCCGAATATATGTACTATGTATCATCAACGTAAACATTAAATAAATTGTCCACTCTCTCTTCATATGTCCGCCTTTGGTCATTGAGGACCAGTGCACTTCCTGTCCCCATTTGTGACAATCTGTTTGATACTGGAACAAAGATAAAATTAGTAACAGTTCGTCAAAATTCTTATCGGATAGCGAAATCCCTTATCAATTACATCAATCAGAAACAAAAATCGAATTACACCGAAAATAAGCAAACAGGGGCCTACTTTTCGCTTCGTTTTAATTGAGCTTCTGATTGTTCTAAGCGTTGTTCTAAACGAGCTATTTTCTCTTCATAACCTTTACAAGATGTTTCTAATTTCTTCTCTGCTAAACCAACACGTACAGACATTTCACTGAGTTCTTCAGCGCGTGCTTTAAGTGCTTTTTGTAATTCTCGTACTTCTTCAGCTTTAGATTCTAATTTAGAACGACATCCTTCTAGTTCAGCTTGAGCACGTTTATAGGCAACAGCACGAGCGGAGACTGGTTCTTGAGGCTATAAACACACATACAACATCAGAAAATGAAAATCAGTGCATTTATTATCAAAAGTGTAAAATACCATCCTAACTTAGAGGTATGTGCAAAAGAATACATAGTGAAAGAACGAAATGAATTCATATTTTAGGATGTGTTAAATACCTACACGTCGTACTAAGAGGCGACATGTCAACAGAGACCACGCCCTTCGGTACAACATAATCAATAAACGGGAAATGCAAAATTAACCTAAAAGCAAAAATAATAACTGATACTCGTTGCGCAAGGGGTGGCTCTCGTGGCTCAGCGGATAATGCTGTGGAGTTTGGAAAGATGGGTGCAGGGTTCGGGTCTGAGTATGAGCACCATCACCACTACTCAGTAGGGATGCAGGTACTTCCAGCCGGCAAGTCCTTAATGGGACGAAAATGCGCATAGCGGATTATAATGCTATACACCGTCAACCAAAATAATTATTAGTTATATCCTCAGGGAGTTAACCGACTTATTAAAAGTTGGTTGCACTGCACCTACTACATATAGCACGTAATAAAGACTGCTGTGATCAATACAACAGGGCTCCAATTTATCTCTTTTTGGGGAGTTATAGGTATGAAAATGTTTAAAACTAGATTAAGTATTATAAAATACAGTCATTAATTTAATGATGCTTTGACGGTTAAATTTGACTAAAATTTATTCTAAAATATTCGTCCGACTGAAAATACTGAGTTTTGTACCTTTAAAAAAGGTTAACATTTTGATCTTCGAGCCCACATAAGCTTGTTGATTTTAACAGTTTTGTTATACACTATATGCAGATACTACTTTCCATCTACTGCCTCACTTGTTCCTCTACGAATATGCATCTATTTGTCGGGTATACAGGTGGGGTCTACTGAGATTACTTTGTATCAATTGTAAAATTCATTAAATCCGTGAATTGTAATCAGTTTAGACTATTTGCTCCTTGTACTATCCCCTGACCCCTGTAAAAAAACATATTACATACCGACCAATAGTGCTTGCTGGCTAAATCAAGGGGATCTAAATACTGGAAGTCGTTTCGGGCCGAACTCATCAGGGGTGTATCCAGTTTTACTCAGCTCGGAGAGCGCTATAGAGATCGACTGTCTAGATCTCAAGTTTACTACAGTGTTTAGTAAGTTAATGCACATGTTACAAATCTGATGAGTGGACTTTGATAGGCGCTTAAGCCTAGAGGACTGCATAATCCACTCAGCTTTCCTTTAACTACCAATGGAAAAAAAACATCCAGTGAACTTACAGCGGTTTGTTTTGTTCCATCAAAGTCATATTCTCCATTCTCCATTGCTAATGCCACTTGACTGATAATACGAGCAACTTGAGTTAAATTATTACGAATTGCTATATCTGGTGCAATGACACTGGAACGAGTATTGAATGCATCTGGTGTTAAGTATTCTTTACAAGCTTCTGATAAACAATGAGTGAAAACAACACCGGGGTCTAAATTGGCTGTATCTTCCTAGAATTTAATTAAAATCAGAAAAAACGTTGACTGGTTAACTTAAGACGACACATAAAGTAAAATAAAAACTGATTTTGAAAAGGAGGCAACTCAAGGTGTAACCACTTCAAACTACCTGGTCCTAAAAAAGATTAAACAGTGAATCCGAACGTCTGGCGCCTACAACCGGACTGGTGAACCTGCTGGTCTACCTAGAGAAGCTGGAAAATCGTGACTCAAGATCTGAAACGATAAAAATGGAGTATGAACGCGTTTCGGTCACCGGTAACCATGGGGATGCGGCCCACTGCCATGTGGATAAAACTTTAACTAATAGGCTCGGGAGGGGTGACCCCTAAAAGCGACCACCTGCTTCGGTCTGGGTAAACGGGCAGTATCCCAGGTGTCGTGCAAACTATGAGGTTTTGTGTGGCACATTTCTTGGTGCCAACAATGTACCAAGTGTGCTTTAATAAAATGAAACAAGTTACACGATTACGACCAGCGATCACCTGAGGGATGACAATAATTTAGCTAAAGAGAGGCTCCTTTATTGATCATATATCATATTTCAAAGAAATTAAACTTTAGAAATACACCAGTACAATCTCAACACTACAGTCGACGGATGTAAAAAATAGTCGTATGAGTTAGAAAATATGTAAAGAGGAAAATAATAAGGTTTAGATACAATAACGATAAATTACTGAATTTGTAAACGACAGAAGACAAGAGTCAGGCAACAGAATGTTTATTGAGAAAATCAAAAGGTATTTATAGATTTTTATGTACATTATTATCAGTGGAGAAGCAACCTTTTCTGATTGGTTGTTTTCTTACTAAAAGTTATTTTGTACTGCTTATGGCCGTTTCTCAGAAAGTCAAGCCATGTATCTGCGAATCCCATTTGCACATGTTAAGTCCGCCGTAATTGGTTGGTGAGTTCCTCAAGGTTAAGCTTTGCAATCGTTTTTCTCATCACTCTGATTCCAGACATAACACTGACGTAGATTGTTGCTCACAATTTTGGCTTGTTCGTAGCCAGCTCTCACCCCAAATTCAGCTTTAAACACATATTTACGAAATGTGAATATTAAGCGTTTCTGACAGATGACTGACTGAATTTCAGCAGAGAACTTTGCACAGAAGTGCACCAGTTTAGGTTGCCACACTCTATGTAGCACACAGAAGTAGAGAAAAGAGACAAAGAAGGGATTCAAAGGAATTATAATGAGTAGAAACATACATCAGAGAGACAGAATAGTAAAAATGGAAAAACAAGAGAGTTCACTGGATATGAGAGAGAGATCAAAAGAGGGAATGAGAACAGTTTTGAGCTATATCACCAATCTTCAGCCATCGGTGGTGCTTAACATCCTAATTATGCATTTCAGTTTAAAATCAAAATAGGTGCTTTCATGTATTGTGAATAACGAAATGGTTTATAAGATATGATACGTTTAACTTTATTATGAAAAAGAACATATTCACAAGTTATTCAGAAAAAAAACTTACAACTTGTCGAACTGTTAACTGGCCAGCTAAACGAGTTGTTTGATACATAGCACCAACAACTGATCCTAACAATTGTATAGCTGAATCTAATTTCTGTGAAACATCCTGGTGAAATGATAACGGTTGACCTGTAGGCTTATTCGGGATTCTTCGTTTTATTCGACGCGTAACAACACGTACAGTTGTAGCAAAATGAATTAATTCACTAAGGAGGCCAATTAAACCGCTTTCAGTAGGATTACTTAACAGTAACGAACCAACATCATCCATATTACCCATACTCAATGGTCCAGATACACAAGTGGCAGCTGTTTTAGCCACTTGTGATAAACAATCAACATTCTGACCGGTCAATATCATCAAAGCAGTTGAGTCAACAGATAAGGCATCAACAGCTGATAGAATTGTTCGCGTGAAATCCAGTAATTTATTGTTACAATTAAATAGCGGTTCTGTTTTCAAATGAACTGTATATAATTGAATAAAGTAATTGTATGACGAAAATAATGGTCCCAATGAAATTGTCTCATCCAACTGATCATTCTTTGTTTGTTCAATTAATCGATCAATACAATGTTCATGTGCAATCATTTCATTATATAAAGAACCGAAGTCCAAATACAGTTCAACACTACAACCTGAAAGGACTCTATTAAGAAAGAGAGAATAAGCAAAACGATAGTGTAGTAATGTTAAATTAAAAGTGTGATACCAATAGATAATAAATCTAACAGACGATTACAAATGATGAAGGTGCACACATAGTTTGCTATCCTGCAGTTGGAAAATAAAACAGTAAAGAATCCTTTTATATTTTCGATCTTTGTGTCCCGAGTAGAACATAAGGCTTCGGGAATTAAGCTTTGAAATTTCAATACCGTTCGCATTTTTACACGATGAAAAATTGTTAGCCTCAGACTCAATCTCCCCTATTTTCCAGGCTTACTATCGACTAGTGAACTGGGCAAGTTATAGGAATGCACCGGTCAGGAGTTGAACTTGGACCCCTAAACCAATAAACGCAATGAAGTATATGTAGAACTGATAAATAAACTAATGATAATTAGAGCTTTGTGAAAGGACTGAATCAATTCAGGTTACTGTAGTTCAAAACAACCGAAAGTTAACAGAAATGTAAAGATGTGGTTTATTGACTTTTCCACTTGAGCTTTCACACGATACGGGTCACAGGTTCTCATTCCACTCCACTTAATATACAACCTGGGAAACTAGATGGCAGCTACCTTCAATACAGTACATCTTCCCTAGGCCTAGCAGTTTTCATGGACTATTTTTTTACGATACACTAAAGCATTAAACTCCTCAACAATTAGCAAGAAAGTAAATCTACCACTTCTTATTCAACTTAGCAATCAGATTAACATTCACCCAAACATCAGAATCCATCTGGCGATGAAGATGTATAATCTCTAAAGAGATTATCTGCAGTGAAATATGATTCGAGATACAGCAGTATTTGATGATAGATGAGAGCTGTTGGATTATTATTCGAAGATGAAAGAAAACAGAAACTGGACAGTTGAGCAGTAGCCGTTCGCCAAAACAAAGACATTAAGATATTATTTAAAACCGGAGCTGCATTTATTGGTACTAACTTGGGGAGGTTTGTAGACTTGAAGAACTAAACAATTCAACCCTGAAGAAACAACTGACCTTGATTTCAATGTATCTGACGTATCCAGTGACATAATGGATGTTTGGCTAATGGCACAGTAGTCGTAAACAGGGTCAGAAGCTTCAGAAACTGTTTTTACCACAGGTGTCATTGGGAAAATCACCAACAGCGGTTACCTAATGGCTGAAAGAAATATGAGCGACAGAGGTGAACTCTGAGGGCTTGATCCATAGAATCCCGACCGATAACTGCTACCTTGCCGTGGTGGTCGGGCTTGAATGCCGCAGTGACCCAATAAGCTAAACTGGCTGGGACTCATGTCCCTGCAGGTCCTACCATGTCAGGAAGGTTGTTTGGATAGCGGTTAGACTAAAAGCAGTTACCATGGGGTACATGGGCTCCAGAATTCAATCGGATCAAATGGCGTATGAACCCATATGGGTCACCGGCAACCATGGGAACGCAGCTCCGCTACCTTGCGGATTACACTCCAAGTCAAAGGCTCGGGGGTGGTCCCTTAGGAAAACCACCTGCTTCGGTCTGGGCGCCCGGGCAGTATCTCAGTCCTCACACAATATTGTGTGGCGCATCTTTCTTGGTGCCACATTGTACCAAGTTTTTCTGCGTTTACATAAATAATAAATAGATCCATAGAAGGGAACAGAAATCAAGTGAGGAGGCAAGGTATTATTTCTTGGTAGAGCTGGATGACTAACACTTCTGACCTGGTTGACATCGCTTCCAACCCCCATATGAGGTTCGTGATGGTGTACACTGGCCCTGAATTTTGGGACCCAGCTACACGGCGATTGGGTGTGGTCACAGACGTACCGGAGGACTGTTGACAATACTGAGGAAGACTGGCTTTTGAAAACCTCCTGCAGTTGGATACCACTGTCAATGAGCTCGACCCTAAAAGAGCGAAATGGCCGCCTGGTGTTTAGATCACTTCAATCTGGCTAACAACCACTACTGGTTGATGTTAGTTGCATACCAACCAATCAGTAGTATACAGTCATGCATTTATGCTTCTTTTCCTGATTGCCATTTATGTTAACAGGCATATCACACCACGATCTCCATAATTTCGGCTTCTCAAACTTCGTAAATTGCAAATCACGGATTCAATTTTGTATTTCTAAGATTTTTATTTATTCCTTCACGTTCTCAGTGGGAGATAGGGCTTCAAGTAGGCTTCAAGCTAGAGCTTCGAAGTTTCAGTAGCAGTGGTATTTATTTTTATGGGATGGGGTTGCTAGCCTCATGCCCAACCTTCCCTCTTTACCAGTCTTATCACTGGCTTAGTGAAGTAGAGGAATGCGTCGGCTGGGGATCGAACCCCGAACCTCCTGCGTGGTTGGCGAGCATTCTACCTCTGTGCCAACAACACCCTTTTTAAGATTTGAACAGGAGCAATTCCATACAGGAGTAAATTTGCATACTGAATGTTAAAATTGTGGAGTTGTTTTTTAATAGTGTTTATCATTTGAAAAAATGATAAAAAGTACGACAAACAATCCGAAAGTTATACACTAGTGGCTGTATTTTCTATTCATGTCACTCATAATATCTTAACATTAAGTGAAAATTTTCAGTGTGAAATACTATATCGAATAAATAAGGGTTAATAGAAAGCTGATAATTCTGGATATCCGTATTCTGAACCTACTGCATGTTCACAGTGGAGCATATTTGTGACTACATTATTCATCCCTTGGATTCCGCGTGGAACAACATAGGACTTTAGCAGTACACCACCTAACAATTTCATAAACGTATGCGCAATCCGGCTCTTTTTTTTTCTTTCTGCACATTTGTTGGGCAACAAGCTATTGGTTTGTTCGTTGCGAGACTTCCTTGACACTTATCTTTGCTGACTGGCTAATTGGTCTTCAGTATGAAGCTAGAGAAGACACCTATTGATGAAAGTCTGCAGCTTCTGGGGAATAGTTTACGTAGTGTGCGCGCCAGCTTTCTCAACCATATAGAAGCACTGACTTGACATTAGTACTGAAAATTGGGGATTTTTCTGTGCTGAGTGTGGTAGATTTCCACATTGTTTTCAGATTTAATGCATGACTGTCGTAATTTCCGAACTCTGACTGGCTTTGACATACCCATCCGTGTCGCCTGTAGTTGAAACGATGATGTCCAGTTGAGTGAAGGAAAAGACTTCCTTCAGGTTTCTCCCGTTGCTGGTAACTGATGATTGTTGTTCACGCATTTCAATTGAAATTCCGTCTTTGCTGCCAATTCCGCAAACTTGTTGGTGTTTCCTTGTAAATCGTCAAATTTGAGAGACACGAGACAGAAATCATTCACGACGTCCAAATCTTCCAGTCTTTTTGTCAGTCCAATGTATGCCTGTTTTTCTACTCCCCCTCCACAGTCTGCCGCATGACCCAACCCACTAGTGATAGTAGGCAGCCTTGTCTTATTCCTGTCTTCACTTCGAACAATTCACTGAGCTTTCCGTTGTGAATCACTTGGCAGGTGGTGTGACCATAAGGCTACTGGTCTGCTGCACTCCACAATGTTCAAGAATCTGATCGCTTCATACCTTGAAGGTTCTCGTTTCAATGCCAGGTCGGGTTATGCCTACTGCTGAGGAGTCACAGACTAAGACGAAATAAACTCGCATTACCCTTTGATTTTCAATCACTCTCTCTCCCTCTGAAGTCACTTTATGGCCAAATCTTACTTGAAATCAATCAACCCACTCATCCTACCTACAAACTACCACTAGAATATTATCAATTAGACTAAATACACAAAATCACTTACTGTTTACACTGGCCTAACAAAGAAGCCATTGACCGGAGTAGATGAATTAGTCTAGTTATAAAACTATAGAATTCTGATTGTGTTTTAGTCAGTGGATTATCAGTACCAGGAATACAAATTCCACAAACAACTTCAGTTGGATTATCAGCAGTAGTAGTACTGGTTTCACCTTGAGACATCTGTAGTGGTGCTTGACCCGGAACACAAGGAGGCAATGGATAACGTTCAACAAGCTGAAAGTAAATCATTTAGTGTGGGATTAAATGCTATAAATATAAAACGATTGTGAATATATTTGCTCTTAGGTTAATTTGCATTTATCGTTGATTGATTATGTGTTGGATCGAAGTGCTCTGTGCATGCAGATGCCGAGTCCCAAACACGACGAAATACACATCTTGGATTCCATTGCTAGTCATCATCAACCGAAGTAACTTCACACCATTCCTAAGACACAGTCGAAGCATCCGTACTAGCGGCCGACATGTCAACAGAGAGACCCAGCATTTCAGGTCAACATAATCGACCAACGGGAAATGCAAAATTTTAACCTAAAAACAAAAGTAATAACTGATATCCGTTGCACAAGATGCTTGTAATGGCTTCCTGTCGATTCCTTTCAACTACCTAACGAATGTAAAGATCCTAAGATTGATTGATGGTTAAGGAAGAAGTAGAAATCAGTCTGCAAGATCTGCGATAGCTGAACATCAGGTCAACATTGATCACTCAATCACGACAACTTTACCCTCCGAAATTACACCTAAGAACTGTTAAATAACCCATCAGAATCAGCGTATATTCACTTTCTTTGCACTCCTGATGCCCTAAATGTCGAATTACAGGAGCTGCAGCTTTGTACACAGAAAAAAAAAACTGGTTAAAACTCTGCTTTCTTCTACTATCTTAGCCTTTTAGTGTTGAAAAAAAATGCTTCTACTTCCCTCAAGCGATGTAATTGTGACGTAATGCAAACTGTTTGTCATTTAAATGCTTATTTAGACCATAGTTCATTCTCCCAAATATTCCATCATATTTCGTATCTCATTATTTATAATTATCCACCCTTAATAAATTCCCACTGACTGGTTTTAACGATTTTACACTTATTTCGCTAGTCAGTAAGCATTTTGAGGAGCACTTTAACTAACCTACAGTTATACTTAGTTTGTTCAGCATCCAGCACCTATCTGAATGGACTGTAGACATTAGTCCTTTAATTGTAACTGAGGTCGCAAAAGCTGTCTTTAGTCTGAAACGAGGAAAAGCAACAGGTCCTTATGAAATCACTCTATAAGTGTTTCAGAATAGTGGTGATGAATTGTTAACTGTTTTAACTAAGATATCATGTAGTGTCTGGAAATAGTTTCGTTGGACTGGTGTAAATCATTGATTATTCTAGTTTATAGGAAGGGAGACACGTTTGCCTGTGAGAACAATCATAGGGTTAAGCTTGACTGGCTTGACTAGTACAAATAATCACGCGTCCACTAAGCGGTACTTGGTAGGAACAAACCAGTGAAAACAAGTCAGGCCTTAGGCCCAGACGAGAGTGTTTGGATCACATTTTTACCCTTCGGCAGATTCTGAAATATAGGCATACTTACCGGTGTCCAACAAATCTTACATTTCCTAACCTAAAGGCGGTATTTGACTCCGTCAACCGAGAGGTAATGTATCAATGTTTCGTCGTGAACAGAGTGCCGAAAAAGTATATCACACTAACCAAGACGCTTTACTCGAACTCACACGGCCTTGTTAGACCCTATGGAGAGTTATCATGTCAAGTGATGAACATCAAAAGTGTCCGTCGGGTATGTTCATTGTCCCCATTTTCGTTCACCTTCATTATAGTAATGGGCGGGATATACAACTATCGATTAAAGGACATATGTACCGCGCAGCAGTTCGTTCTGCTTACGTTGTTGAAAGTGAGAGATATGAAGAGGTTAGTTGTCACTGATCATAGGTGTATGCTTCCCATCTCTCGTGTTAAGTGGTATAATATGGTGGGTAATAGTGAAGTTAGATGAGAAGAGGAAGTCTGTCAATGAAATTGTGAAGCTAAATTGATCGAGATCGATGGGATATGTGTCACACATGCCAAGTCACTACCTCCCTGATTGAGCAATGTTAACAGACACAGGACTAGCTTGGATAATAGTTAGAGGTAGTCGAATGGACTACTCGGCTGGGATCCCCGAGACACTAAGAACTATTTGCTTGAGACTTTTAGTGATATGCCTCAAAATCGTTCGTACATTTGCATTTATTTGTCGAATATTAATAAGGAAGCATCACACAAATCTATGGTATCTCATTAACTCATAAACATTCATTTGTTTAGAGCAAAGTAAATTAGAGAGTTGTGTCCCCCAATCTGAATATCAGTAACGCACTGTACACACGAAAAGTAGTACAATTCGTGGACACATACACTACTCTGAGACTATATTACGACGTATAATTTATTATATACAGTAAAATATCACAAATTGAGAGAATAAGATTAAACTTACATGATTAGCCAGCAGATCGCATTTCCCAGCTAGTCGGTCGATTAACAAAAGTGTAAGTAATGCCTCATTATCACCACCACTTCGGAGAAATGAGTCAGGTAAGAAAGCAGATAACCGCGTCACATGATTTGCAGTTTGTTCTGCTTCAAGGCGTCTTAATTCAGCTTCAATTACCTTTTTTCAATGTTAAATAAGACAGTAAAACACAATATGGTAACATGAATTCAAAGTAGCAAGTAGAATACAGAAGAGTTCATCATGAATGATTGAAATTAAAACATAAATATCAGTTAGAACTTGAAATACTAATCAACTCAACCCAACTCAACGTTACTCAACAGTCATTTGCAATTTCATATAGTTGGGGATGATCGACACATGTTGTGTGAGGGTTGGGTCATACTGTCACAGGCTGTGTAAACTTCAATGCTTGGAGTGGAGTTCGAACGTGTGACCAACGTGTTGAAAGTCGGGCACAGAGACCAATGAGCCGCAACTTCTAAAAACTCCAATATTAATAGTATTATTTGTTCCTTGAATTCTGACTGAAACATAGGGATTCGACAGCCTTGAACCTAGGTTTCGTGGTTCTTGGCACTCGTCAGGAAGGCATACTTGCAGCCCTGAAGGAACTCGTATCCCTTCTGAGATTAGCACCCACGTCACCCAGTGCTGCGGTCAGAGACGTTATCACTGAGCTATTCGGGCTCGCGACTGACCTCCTGTAGGACTGTATTGGCTATTTTTGATTCGATACTAGTTAGTAGCTAGCGTAATGTGTCTAGTCCTTTGTTTTGTGCAGACTGAATTCTATCAGTCGAGTTCGTAATGTGGCCACGATGCTAGGTGGCTCCCCATCAGAGTGCACTGTCAATTGTTGGTGTTAGATGGTTGGAAGACATCGGCAGGAAACCTTGAACCTAGGTTTCGTGGTAGTTGGTGGCCACATTGCAAACTTGACTGACAGAATTCAGTCTGCACAAAACAAAGGACTAGACACATTACGCTAGCTACTAACTAGTATCGAATCAAAAATAGCCAATACAGGCCTACAGGAGGTCAGTCGCGAGCCTGAATAGCTCAGTGGTAACGGCTCTGACTGCAGCACTGGGTGACGTGGGTTCGAATCTCAGAAGGGATACGAGTTCCTTCAAGGTTGCAGATATGCCTTCCCGACGAGTGCCAAGAATCACGAAAACTAGGGTCCAAGGCTTCCTGCCGATTGCCTGCGACCATCTAGTAGTGAAGCTAACCGAGAGTGGGACTTCAGAGAACAGATTGCAAAGCAGATGTGTTATCAAACCCCTATGTTTCCATCAGAACTCAAGGAAAAAATAGCTTTACTACTGTCCAGGAGTTTTCGTTTCCTTCTCACATGACCTTCTCCGTATCATTCTAAGAAAACCAAGCCATCGTATCTACTTCAGGCAAATTGGTTAAGACACCACACTTATCATTCAGATTCCAAAAAATTAACCGAAATTTAGGTAACCATATATCTCTAAAAGATTACATGTTGCTTATAGATTAAAACACGAGAAGTGTAAATGATAATTGAGTTGTTAAACGAATTCAAATCGGTAAAAGTATAATTCCAATAGTCGTTATAGCTTATCATAGTGATATAAGGAAAGCGGAGTTTATTTCTAAGACGAACGGGATGTCAAAATTAAGTTTAAAAGGCATTTAGCATAAAAAAGGTTATTGACTTGCCATGTAGATATAAAAACATAGGCATCTTTAACGTAAACAATTACTAATTGCGGACAAGATTTTAGTAGTTAATGAAATTAAAATGAACAATATATGTTTTGTCCCCATTTATAGCTCTTCAACAACACGCACTCATAACTTCACCAGGCGTCGAACGATGCGAGAGGTTGTCATAAACGGGGCACACCAAGTTGATTGTGACGACAATTACTTGCAGATGATGTTGGTGGCTGCCAGCGGAGCTATAAATCGCAAAACTGGCAGAAGTCAGAATTGATGGCCCGCCCACTGGATTCTGTCCCAGCGACTGAGTGATCAACGAGTTCTTCCTGTAAAATGAAGAGTCCTGTGTTCGACCTCTAGTGAGGTGGTGATAGGTATCTACTATTGGAAATTCACAAAACTAGGAAGAGAGAGATATTTAGTACTACTTGGTTTTCAATAGTTCTCTAATTGAAGTCGGTTCATGATCCAATTTGAAATCAATTAAATCCTTGCAAACCAGCGTTAGAAATTTTCCCACTGAGCCTATTTCAATCCCTAATTTGATATTATTATAAAATATTCTGTTTCTTCTAGTATAAATAAACCAGTATGAAGTTTTAAAATTAATTTCGGTGAATAGAAAACTTCCTTCATTATAATCCTTTTCATTTTGTTTACTTTTAATTATTACTATGATTTCTGTGTGTACAATGGTCTTTCAGGATTACTTAATTTGTATCGATGAATAATCGCTGTGTCAAATATTCCGTAAAATCAATAAAATTAGCAATAAAAATCATTTTCAAGCGCTAGCTTGTAGCCATTTGATTGGTTTTAAGTGTGATCACGGATTAATATCATTTGGAGTTTCAGTCACTGAAACCCAGGGAGTATTTGACAGCAGTACGAACCTATAACCACCTCACGCAGGATGGAACCCTAGACCTGCAGGTTAAAAGGCGAGCTCGATAACCATTCAGCCACTCGGATGGAATCCAATGACTTTTCACACTTCTAACTTCTGCCAGTTTCCCGATATACAACATCACCACCAGCCAATATGTCAGCGGTGAATATTTGTCCTCACACCCAACTTGGTGGACTCGGCTAGTCACGACTTTCCCCTAGAACTTTGGGTGACTGCAATCGGTAAGTCAACCACTAGTGAGTATCAGATTACTTTTTAAGTGTTGATTTCTAGGGATTTTATTTGTTTTCACTTTTCATCACAGATTGATATCAATAAAAATAATGATATGAAATACTCACTTTAGCAAGAGTTTGTACTTGAGAGCCTAATCCGAATTTACCCCCCATAAATGCAGCTGTAGAACCGACAAGATCTGTTGCAACTGTACGATAGGCATTTTGTTGCTGTTGTTCTTCCTGTAGGCGTTTTTCATCCGCTAATGACCTACGTAGATCAGTATTTTGTGTTTGTAAATCAGAGACTAAATCTCTAAATTTACCAAGAGTTTGTTCATAGTCTGCAATTGTTTCACGTGTCGCATCTAAGTGACGTACAAGTTGATTAATTTGACTGTTGGCTCGTTCAATTTCTTCAAGTAGTTCAAGTTTTGTTTGACGACTATTCTCTTGCAATTCATCATTCATTTCACAAAGAGCTTCCTATAAAAACCATAGGAAAAAAAAGAAGCAAATAATTATTTAATCAAAGCACTTTTTTAAAATCAAAGACGGTTAATTCTTATCATTTCTAGACTTTTTGTTATAAACTCCACATAGTAGTAATATCAACTTTCTGTTAACATCAAAAAAATGCTGAGCTTTAGTGATGGTTATCGCCTTACTATTACTTTCAGTACTGTTGTCTCTATTGTAAAGATCAATATAAGGTAATACTTTGGATGCTCGCATTTAAATTGAACATAGAATATGATTGCAGTCTATAGCTTTGCAGATTGAAAAAGGGGCATGGTATATTTACAGCTTAATAATAATAATAATAGCTTTATTCCAAACAGTATTTATGGTACAGGTATGGAATTTTCAGCGTGCATTACAATATTACATCTAATTACCTCATAAATTTTATAAGATTTTAAAAATAAAAAGCAACAACAACAAAAAGAAAAGACGAGAAATAAAAGAAATAAAAAAGAACGGCATTGCATTCACATATTTAAACAATGCACCACAGGATATGAAATATAAAATTAATGTGTAATAGAATATGTGAGCAACAATATAATAGTTACAAAGAAAGGAGAACAAAAGCTAATGGGAACTATTTGTTCGAGTGCCGCAGTAAGTTGATCGTGTCATACCTAACAGTTTTCTCATCACATAACAGCTGTGCCAGATAAGGTATTGTGAAGTTTTTGTACTTAGGAGCCCTGGCATATAGCCTCCTATAGTTGCTTCTAGTTCTACCAGATGAAATGCAAGGAGAGAGCTGCGTATAGAGAATTCGCTAGTAGCTTACATGACATTATATGTCTATCCACAATGGTGTTAATCAGTTGGTTTAACGAAATCCCACTTCCCCTACTAACAGCTTTTAGTGCCCTACGCAGCAAAGCAAAGTCTTTCTTAAGTAATCCAGGAAAGATTAATGGGGAGCAGTAAAGAGGGATCGTTAGAATACAAGAGTTGACAAACTGAGAAAGCAAAGACTGCTTTATACCAGACTGCCTTAACTTCCTAACGTAGAACGTCAAGCGAAACATCTTTCTAGTAACTAGCAAGATGTGAGAGGACCAGGAAAGATCGGAGGAAATACTCAGTCCAAGGTATTTGACATTAGAGGTAGTTTCAATCTCTATGCCATCAATGATAGTGGGACCATGTGAGCTAGCTAGTTGTTGTTGGTCACGTTTTCGTCTGAAAGTGAAATTTACTACCTGATATTTAGACGGATTCAGCTTAGGACCGTTTGAAGAGGACCACTGACTAATTTCCGAGAGAAAGTATGCACGGACTGGGGTTCGATCCCAGGGCCTTCCGGTTACAAGGCAAGCTCGTATTCCATTCAGCCACTGGCCCATGAATTCTAACTTCTACCAATTCGTGTTTTTAGCGCGACCATCAACTAATTTCATCGGCGGGAAATCCATCCTCATTCTTGTTATTATTTCAGCAGCAACTTGCTACAATATGGGCAACACGAGATGTGCCACACAAAACAAAAACAATAAGACACAGTATAAGGAAGAGAAATGGAGTAGCTGGGGAACAGAATTATGCAAACTCGCAAGCATACTTATTCAGGGGACTTATCACCGCATGCTACTCTCAGATTACGATTCTCAGCCATATTTGATAACAACTCAAGTCAGTGATTTGGACTGTCATTCGGGGTAGCGGTGCAACAAGAGATGCTAAACTAATGACAACTATTCTCTATCCCATGACAACACGTCATGGATTGAACACCACCTGTCCGCTCCTAACCGACCGTTTAGTTAGAGTTAATTAATTAGAAATATGAAGGAGTCACATCGCTTGCAGGAAACTTTCGTCATTATTGAGTGTAGAAATGCTACAACTAATTCCCATTCCATAGTAGTTTAACTAACGAATGAACGGTAGTTAGGTAAGTGGGTAAAGTGAGACAAAAAAAAGTGTGAACTACATTTACACTAGAAATTAAAGATATTTCATAATATCCTGTTACATTAACAACGATTTATTTACAGTTTTCCGCAAACCGTGTAAATAAAAGATTGTAGAGCACCAATATTAAGAATAAATCAGAGCAAACAATAATGGTCTGCTTAAATAACTAGGCTGCCCGATTTTCTTTCCATCAGAATTTCTCTCATTTACTCTATTTTATTTTATTTTAATTACCCAATTACATCTCTGAGTTGCAGTTTATACTCAAGCCCGTTTTCTACTTAGCAAGAGACCTAGGAACAGAGTCAAATACAGATGTGTAATCAAGGGAGGCACACCGAACATATTTGGCTCCTCTATCTAAACTAGAGACTATATTATGATGTAGAACAACAGCGGCATCTAAGGTACTCCTACTATGTTTATAGGCAAACTGGTTGGGGTCATTAAAAGGCTTTAAAGAGGGTTCAAGATTAAGTAAAATAAGTCTTTCCATAACTTTTAAAAAAGGTGAGGTAATAGCAATCGGTCGAAACTTAACAGTAGGTCCACTTGTTGATTTAGGTACTGGAACAACCTTGATATTTTTCCATGAGTCCGGAATAATACTTTGGGAAAAGGATTCATTGAAAATGTCGGTTAATGGGTAACATAAGATGTCAGCACACTTCTTAAGGATAACAGCAGGAACTCCATCAGGACCAAGGGACTGGGTAGGTTTCAGAGATTGAAGACAATTAAGGACATCGTTCGTGTTAAAACACGAGAAGCAGTCATTATTTATACTACTAGATTTGGGAATCATAACATCTGCAGGGATACATATGAAGGATTTATTAAGCATATCAACATCAACATGTGTACACATACCAGATCATTTCTTTCTTCTTTAATTTTCTCAAGCGTTTCTTCCAGTTCTAAATTACGTTGTGTCAACTGACTGACCATTGTATCAATGCCGAGGTAAGCATCCACTTGTTCTTTTAATTCAATAATTTGTTCAACACTATCTTTTAAATTTTTTGTTAATCGTTCTTTTTCTGTTTGAAGTTGACTAACTTCTGATTCTAAAGATGTAATCTTTAAAATACAAATAAACAAAATTAATTATTCAGTTTAAAGTTTGGTATTTCAAATTCTCATAAAAAGTAGGTAAATACAATGTGATAGTGTAGATTTCGTCGTGAACCAACATCAGTTAGGGAAATATTCAAAATCAAGGAGCTCCAGACAACTGTTTCGCACTTAATTAGAACTCCTCAGCAATACGCACTCACGTCCCCAACGGAGGTCGAATTCAGGACCTTCATGTCACAAGGCTGATTCCGATGACTATTTAGCATGCTGCTGAAGAACCACAAGTTGGGACAAAACCACTGTCTAGTGTTCTATGGTTTTTGATAATTTTTTTAACTGATATTGGATTGAGACGAAATATGCAGTAAAATTAATCCAAATCCCTACAACGAAATTCCCACAATCTCAATACGATATCAGACGTCAGTGACTGCGATGTCTGTTGCAAGCTATTTAATATTACAAAATAGCATAGAAGTGAGCTGAATTAGTATAAATGAATATACAGATAAAGCTGACTAACTTACTGATCTCAACATAGAACTTTGCACACATATGAGACAGTTCCAGTTGAATTAAATAATTAATATGACCCATTTCACAAGAGGTGGCCATCTTGGCCCAAGTGGTCTAGTGGATAACGCTTTGGCGTTTGGAGCTATGGGCACTGCGTCCGAGCCTCAATGGGGACATCATCACTCACTGCGGAATACAGCTAGATCCAATTGACGAGTCCCAAATAGGCCGAAATGCGCATCCTGGATTCTATTGCTAGTCACCATCCACCAATTAACTTCTATTTTCTGACTGTATAGTTCATTGTGATGGTGAAAACCTTACTACTACCATTAGTCGTCTAGTTTAAAGAAAGCAATAAGAGTGAACTGATCTAACTGGCCGTTACAGATATAATAGACAATAACAATAAATCAGCGATAAATGGCGGTTAAATGCACCAAGTACAACCAAAGAATCTCAGCTGATCTAACCTTCTCGAAATACCTTACTAATAGACACATTTTCATAGAGTTTACACGGACGTCCTACTAACAGCATTATTATGTGGAAGAAATTTTGCCACAAAAATGAAGGCTTGGTGAATATGGGGTACCATGTGACGAGTTTAAAACGCCTTGATTCCATACAGAATGTGTACAGGTAAAAATAGCTTACAGATTTGACTTAGTTACCAAAATTAAGATAAAATGCATCATGACATTGCTTTGCTTATTTTCGAATTGGACTTTACGTCACAGATTTGGACTGTCCCCATAACATTTCGAGCTTCACAAAAATCGTAAGACAACAGAGGTAAATAACTCTTATCACATCATTCATCACTTCCATTTGCTCGACCATTCACTTTTAGGCTTTATTTTCCCACTCAGACAAACTGTTATCTCAGACTTAACTGTAAACTTTGATATTGTCTATGAGTGAGTTGATGTTAAAAGAAGAGTTGGAAGAATAAACGAAATTCAAAACACAGTTGAAGCCAATATGTGAAGAATTCACAATACTCAGCTATACAGCTCCATTAATATTTATAACTTTTGGTAGCCTGTTTAGTGTTCTTAAAAGTAGACTTGATTGGTGTACAGAATATTAATAAGTTTAGAAATATTGAATTGGTAAGTTGAGTGCATTCACTACTTATCTCATAAGTTAGAAAAACCTTTACTATGATAACAGTGACTAGCAGAGGAATGTAGGATGAGCACTTCGTCCTATTTGAGATTCATCATCTGGACGTACGTATGCTGGTGTTCCACTCAGACTAGAACCCTGCACCCGATGCGCTTTGATAAGAAGCTTGTACTGAAGATGTTGTTCGGAAGGAACATGAAAGTTTCGCAGTTTTAAAATCATCCAGCTCAAAGAACGCAAGAACATCAAAATTACAACTTTACCTTCATCGAGTTTCTTTCTTTGCTCACTGCATCATACATAAAAATTATTAAGCAGGAATTTACCTGTTTAGTTAAAGCTGAAATTTCCGATTTATCTTGATTAACCAAATCACGTAGCTTGACCAGTGCTCCTTTCATTCGTTCATTTTGTTGTTCAAGATTTTTAAACTGTAAGAGAGTTGGACCGCCTTCAACACCGACTGATACTGCACCCGCTATTTCCCACAAGAAAGAGAAAGAGAGATAACAACGTAGAATCCAATAAGTAACTAGGAACGCAATGTCCAGTAATTTATCTCCTTAAGTAAGAGAAAAATGTTGGCGAATTTCTAGACAAGAAAACGCAGTTACCCTTGATGTAGGAACAGAGTATAATTCCATATCATGGGATCATTTCATTCGATAAAATAACTCGACGTAGGATTCATAACAAGGCAGGAATTAGGGTGGAATTTAAACCTACAAAGTAACTCAGAGATTAAGGGACCCTATTAGACAAAACTATTTAATCAATATAATGACCTGCAGTGACTGTGAGATCAACTACAACTGTAAGACCAGTTGTTTGGTCAGATTATTGGAGCATACGAATTTGGCTTAGTGTGAAATGATGGACTTCACAAAAATGAAAATCACACAATACAATGGGGAGAGAGCTACAGTTCTAAAAAGTAATATAAATAGGTGGAGAGAAATCGAGCATTGAATTTTTCTTCATTTAATCTATAGGTAACACATAAGTAGGAATAACGTAACGCTGGTATACTGGAGATATGGATAAGAAATAATAGAATTACATAAACGAAGTTTAAAAGTTATGTGAGTGCCTTGATATAGTTGTAAGCAATAAATTGTTGTCGAAACGTCATCAGTAAAAAATGTTGCATCACTGTTTTTCTCCCCAAATAAAATTATTCTATAAAGGGACAGGGTGACCTTTTATATTTTTACATATTCTTCTTTACCAGTCGGTAAATCTTTATCCTCAGAATTGAAAAATGAGTTTTGAGTAATGTCACGCACTGACAGTATTAGCTTATTTACGTGATTCCCTGCTGATAAATCTGACACGAATTGATCAGCTTCAGTTTGGTATACAGCTACAATTAACGACCTGGTACGGTCGACGGTGGGTAGACTTCAGTCTTCCTCTAGAAGTCGTCTCATGTGCTTACGCGTTTATAGCCTTTGATTACGTAATTCCTGTTTACTACCTTTAAGCTGCCTGGTTGAAAGGGCGAATCCGGACATCTGGCGCTAACAACTGGACTGATGAACTCATTCAGTAGATGCCTAAATACTACCTTGAAGTATATAAAATGACTTCTCAAAATACATGAACAACAAGTATGGAGATAGTTACCACAATAGCTCCTGAAAAGTAATGAGCACAATGTCAGTTGACAGTTCTGCGATTAGAGTAAAGCCGATAACACTGAAGAAAAAAAGTGAAATGTTTATCCAAGTTATAAATGACTGATAATAAAATACGATGAAATTGTTATCACGATATGCCTGTGTCTCTACCTTAGTTGATTGACTTGTTTCGCAACCTGTGAGCTAACGTGGTTAATAGCATCTTATAGAAAGTTCAGATGGGTGGTTAGATCACATTCTGTGAGGTGTTAAACGAGAATTTTTAAGAGCTAAGATATCAATGGAAACACTGCTGTGTAAATCACTTGACTAGTACAATTTCCTTTTCAGTAGTTTATCCCAACTATAGTAGAAACTTTTCGAAGAGGCTTCAGATGCGTTCGCTCCATACTGCAGATTAAATGACAAGTAAGGATAAGCAAGCAACCAGGAGCTCCGGCACGTAAAAACCACCCAAGATCATATCGTCCAACAAATATGCAGAGGAAAACATAAACGCATTGGACACAGGCTGAGAAAACTATCGAGTGACACATCACGTGCCAGACCCTCGAGTGAGATTCAAACAACAATCGATGAGTTGGGCACACGAGAGTGACATGAAGGAGGCCGTGTGAAGTGGAGATGAAAGTTATGAGCAATCGTGGGGCCAGCTACGACAGGCCGAAGGCGACAGGATGAAATATCGATCGATGTGTTGCTGAAGCAATATGTTCCACTAGGAACCCTAATGAATAATAATAACATATACAATAGAAACGATTTTAAAATAACCTTGAAACAACTTAAATCATTACTACTAACCTTTTTCTTCAAATTCTTCTTTCAAGATTTGATTCTCAAGAGTTAATTCTTCTACTTGTTCCTTAAGTAATTCAATTTCTCCAGTCAATCTTTCTAGTTTTTCTTCGGTCATTTCTTTATCTAAAGTGATCATTTCTATATTTTCAACCATTTCAGATACTTCTTCACGATAACGATCAAATGCTTCTTTGACTTCAGCTTTTTCCTCAATAGAGATTAATAATAAACACATTAGTGAACCAGGTTTTCAATGAAAATAGCTAGAGATGTATTTAGAAACTAAGGAGAGCTAACAGAGCGAGTATTTTCTAGCTTGGCACTTTTTACTAATGCAAACACATGACTGCATGGAGCAATGAGCTCAGGATCATTGAGTTACAAGATGCGAGTGTTATCATTGAACCAAACGGTTAGCATGCAATCTTTGAACTCAGTTCCTGGAAGGGGTGTTTCATATTCCAGGGATTATGAGTGACACTTATTGTGTAAGGGTTAATGATACTGCCCAGTTACCCGCTCTAGGTAGGCACAGTGGGATTCGAACTCGAGGCCCACTGGTCAAAAGTCAAGTGCTTAAATCAATGAGCTAAGTTTGCCTTGCATGTCCTCAATTCATTAGCAGAAGAAATCAGTGCAAAACTTATGAGAGTAATTCACTCTGGAGAAGTTATTACTTTTAAAAGCAGTTACTTCCTTTCATGAATTTCGACAACAACAAAAAAAAATAAGACGCAGTTTGTTCTATCTGAAACATGTAATGCATTCACGTAACACATTTCGGACATTCTGATCACACGGCCTCCTTGTCAATACATATTTATATTAAAAACTAACTGACCATAAAGGCTCAAAACTCTACCAATGAGTCAAGGAGTCATGATCACAGATAATGAGGTAGGAGAATCATACACACACACACACAGAACACGTCGACTTTTTGATGGTTGGTATGTATTAAATGGCAGTAAAAAGATCACCAGTTTCTGCACATCACTCTGTGAGCAAGTAAACGGACAAAATTCACATTGGTAGAAGTGTTTCCACTATATTATTAGTATTCGCTATCTGCAAAATGTGATTACTAGCACTACTCTTTTTGACGTCAACTTTGTCATTACATACAGAGTGGGTAGACATAGGTCCCATAGATTGTACAATTGCGAAATTACACTAATCTATTATTAACATGGGTCGTGGATGAGAAATAGTACGAAAACAAAGTGCAGTGGCTATTTGTGGTTCTATAACTGAGAACCATCTTTTTTAAACTGGAACTGGGAACAGTCAAAACTCAAGTGTTAGCAGTCAACAACTTCATGTTGCATCATCAATAGCTTACTCCATATAGGGTCATTTTCAGGTTATCAATCGATTTTGATTAGTTATCGCCATCGATTGAGAATATATTATCTCCTTACAGTTAGTCAACTAAGAGAGTTCACAAACTTTTCGTTCATACAATTTTATGATTTATTTACAGAGGTTTCAATTTTTAAAAGAAACATCTCCCAGTAGAGCTATGTAAAGGTGTAGTGAAAACCATCAACAGTTCGATATTTGATCATCTGGTCCAAACCAGCCACAAAGCCAGCATTGAAGAATCCTTCTCTATCATCTACCGTGTGCCAAATAAATTGCCGAAAACAGCGAAGTACCGCATGCTCCAAACAGCAGAGGCTATTTCAATTCGCCTCAAATAACCAGTGCTTTGTGTGCAAAAGAAGCAAGTCCAGCCACTACTATTGCCCCGGCCTTTAGTGGAGATTATAAATCCATGAATTTGTATTATTATCTTTACTAATTTTTCTGACATTTAGTTTATTGTTATATTGATGCTATTTAACTATAATCTATTGATATTCGTGGTTATTTAAACATTAATGTTGTTCACAACACTAATTCATTCATTCACTATAATGTATATATAACTGCAGAGCCTGATGATGAAGTTATCGAAAAGAGTATTCTTTGTTCAGTATCCATTCTTTGGAAACAGTAATGATAGTGACTTCAAAAGAATAATTTAAGCTCCAAGTACAGTTCACCAACCCAACAAAATTGTTAAAATCAATATAAGAAAGAAAACCTACTGTTTTTAATTGAGCACTTTCACGTTGTAATTCAGCTGCTTGTTGTCGGATCCGACGTCGATTCTCTTCAACTTGTGAAAGCTGAATTTTAACACGTTCTAATTCTTGTATTCTATTTCTATCTTCTTCCCGTTTAGCTTTTAAAGCATCAATTTGTTCACGAAATTTGATTACTTCAGCACGTAGATTTGCCAGTTCCAACTCTGTGTCTGGGATGTACTTACCAGTACCACTTGGAACAGCTGATACAGATGTTTCTGGTATTTTTTGAGACGTATCTCTAAGTTCACTTGGTGCATTTTCAGAATCCACCTTCTGCGCAGCCGCTTCTACATCACTAAGTGCTGCTGTTGTTTGTGAGATTTCTGAAGGATTTATTGGCATTTTAATACCAGTAGGGATAGGCGGTGTTGATGTAGTAGTGGTAGTAGAAGTGGGGAGTTTACTCCCACTTATCATCTTACGAGTCGGACTATCCGATTTTGAAATTTGTGTGTAAGATTGACTCATTATGTCTGATGCACCAGGTTTATCCGCAGAAGGCTTACTAGAAGGACTTTCAATTTTTGCAGAGGCAGTTTCAGGTTTTAAAGCTGTTGATGTTGGAGCTGGACTACTTCGTACAAGGTCTGGATTAGATCCAGTTGGTGGAAGCTATAAAAGTGAAGAAAAAATGAGTAAAAGTATGGAAAGTGATGGTTTGACATGCGCTGCTTCAAAAAGGAATTGGCGCTCAAAACAACGCCTACACTGACACCTCAAGTGATATGACTGAAGGATTAGTGCGGAACACTGCACAACACTTCATTAGTTCATGGTGCTACACTTCAAAGCACCACATAGAAACTCCAATGCTGAGTGCAAAAATTTACCACCAAGAAGAGAAGCAGATATACCTTTTGTAATTTAGCAAAACACGAGATAACAGAATAAACTGGTACTCATAACGTGCAACACACTAGGTGGTTGTGTTAAACATGTTGTTTATTTTAAATATATACAAGACCACCAAAAACTCAAGCTTAATACATGTACAGTAAAAGGAAGAGTAAAGTTTAACAACAATTTAAAGTAATCTTAGACCTTATTGTATTATAATTGCTACTCCCACGGGTTACTGGTAGAAAATTAGGCTTCACAGCAGCACAGATTCATTGCATCTTGTTCTCCGCAGTCTTTTCTTAGGTGGCTCCTCGACTGCTCATAAGCTTTCATCTTAACCTTACACGAACTCATCCATGCCATCCTCGGACAAACAACGCATCTTTCGCTTCCCATTCATGTTTTACTCGAGTGCTTGGAGCATGATGCCACGGTCTTCTCAGTGTATTTCTGATCCATATATATGTCCTTCTACATATTTCTACATGGGCAATAGGCTTTTGGGCAGTTGGCTGACGGAGTTCCTTGTTGCTTACCTTTCTGGTCAGCCATCTGATCCTCAGTATGGAACCAAGTCTGTCTGGTATGCTTTTGATAGTGCGCCAATTCTCTGAACCATATGGAATCACTGACTGACTTGACAATGGCATTGGAAATTCGGATCTTGTTACTTATACAGAGTTCGACGGATTCCCACACTGATTTCAAAGTAATGAAGGCCTGTATTGCCTTTTCAACCTTGCCTTTGACATCTTCATCTTTGCTTCCCGCCTAGGTAATTGAAAGAAGTGGCTTCCTTCACACTTCCCCCATTGATGTTAGTTCGTTCTTGTTGCTGTCGATTAGGTTTCTAATCACTTCTGTTTTATCAATGTTCATTTGAAGTCCGGTCTTCACTGCCTCTTCCACTAACTTGCTGGTCTTTCGCTTGTAGATCTTCAAACTTCTGCGAAATTAGACATAAATCATCGACGAATGTCCAGATATTCCAGTGTCTTTTTTTCCCTCCAGTGTATGTCCGTCCTGTCTCTCCTCACGGACTGTCGCATAGCTCAGTCTAATATAACTAGAAAAATCGTCGGTGGCAGTAGGCTGCCTTGTCTTACTCTAGTCTTTACTTCAGAGGCTTTGCCAAGCTCCCTGTTGTGAATCAGTTGGCGTGTAGCATTGTCATATAACTGTTGAATGAGGCTGATACAGGTTTGAGTTGCTGCAATCCATGGTGTCAGATCAGTTTCCAAATTACCTTGAATGTTTTTACATAGGCATTTACAAGATGAAATCCCGAAAGCTTGAACATTATCAACAAGGAATCTGAACTATTGAAGAATTGACAATTCTAGAAGAAACATAAACTTTATTAAAAACCTGTTTGTCTCATTCATTTTTAGATACGCTATACTGTAAGATGATTTATCTATATTTGATATTATAGACATGGTTTTCAGTGTAGAACACACTGGAAGCTGCAATTCGCTTAAAACCTTAAAATTAACCATTTTATTTATTTATTTAATTATAGCTTCATTCCACACAGTATTTTGGTACAAGTACGGAATTCTCCGCATATCATATCGGTAGTTCAAATTTAGCCGGCTGAGACCATTGATATCAGGTGGGCGTCGGTTGGGGATCGAACCCCGGACCATATGCATGGTCGGCGAGCGTCATAACTGCTGTGCCACCGACACCCTGAATAATCACTTAGAATGAAACACAAGATGATGAGATCTAGTGAACTCCAACAGTTCTGCAGCAACTGTTGATTTGTGCAGTTTACGTCCATTTATCACTTAAAACAGAAAAAGGTTTAGTAAACTAAGGTATTAATAAATTTATCACATAAATTCAAATATTAATAAAACAAAAACCACACCAGAAAGAAAAGATACCATTTGTATGAAATTGATAATCAGTTTAGAAGACAGTCTGCACAAAACATAGTTGGTGAAAATCCACTACAGAGTGGATTTCGAGGTGTTGTGCTTTGAAAGTACAGATATAATTTAGAGAATTACAAAAGATTGTGAGTAAAAACCAGGTATTAACAATGATCAGTTAGTATTAGTTAAGTGTTTTATAAATAAGCGAAAACATGATAAGTGAAATACAAAAGGGGAATACTGTTCAGTAAGAGAACGTAAAATATTAGAGAACAAAGGACCAGGATACATATGTAAGATATTGAACTACTCATGTCATATTCTGATACTCAGTATTTGGTTAACATAGGAGTAAGAACTTCTGTGTATTACTGAGTCATGGAGCCTTGATTTGTCAGAAGTAGACTTCAGCATTCTTATAACAACAGAAGACAAGGTCCAGGTAACAGATCGTTTATTGAATACAACCAAGAGATATTTATATATTCCTATGTATATTATTATTAGCGTTATTGTTAGTGGAGAAGCAACCTCTTCTTATTGGTTGTTTCTCCACTAACTGAAGGTTATTCTGTACTGCTTGTGACCGTTTCTCAGAAAGTTAAGCCATATATCTGCGAATCGTATCTGCACACGTTAAGTCCTCAAAGTTAAGCTTTGTTCTTGTTTTTTCTCATGACCTCGATTAGGGACGTCAACATTGACGTGGACTGCTGTCTATAATTTTGGCTTGCAGACGACTGTCACCACATTCTGACTTCCATTTAGGGAACAATGAACACTGAGCAAACTAATTTATTTAAATGTGTGACAAAAAGGGTGCATCAGTGATTCAGTGGTAAAATGCTCGCTAACTAAGCACCTAGTTTGGGGTTCGATTCCCGGTCGATGTACTAATAAAACTTGACTAGTTTACCAGTTCAGAGTAAGTCCGCAAAAGACTGAAGATTGGGTGTACGGCTAACAAATCCACCCCATAAGAAGCAGCACAATGGTTACTGAGTCTTCAAAACTTGAAGCCCTAAGTCCTATATTCAAGTCGGAAGGCAGTGGACTGAGAAAAAACAGGTTTTCATGTATTCTAAATGTTCCTACAGTATCTCTTTTACAATCATTCATTTTATTTCTTTATGTTGGTCCATGCTAGTGAGAATGTTGTCGTCTTATAACCAGCTTAAAAAAATTCGTTTTCTCTCCTTCAGTTCTAAGTAGAATGTAGGACTTCAAACTTTGAAGTTTCACTAGCAGTGATGTTTTGTTTTCTTTCGAGAAATATGGTTGCTAGCCTCATGGCCAAACGTCTCTTTCCCAGGTTTACTACTTGGTTAGGCGAGGTTTAGGAGTGTGTCGGCCGGGAATTGAACCCTGACATATCAAGGTCCTTGATATGATTATGAGCAATAAATTGTGCTCGAAACGTCATCAGTAAATATTACTGTATAACACTGTGAGACTCTATCAAAATAAAATTTACCCATAATGGAATTACACTCTACCACAGTGCCCAAGTTTTATTCTTATAACATGTATATTTCTCATAGATACGTGAAGAAACCAAGTCACCTGATTGGTTGTGGATATAAGCACCTACATATATATATATATATATGTATATATATATATATATATATATTGGTTTTTACCGTCCCGAGGACCTCAACCAGGAAGTCTACACCTTCCTACGTGTCTTAGACTAACTGTTGTAGATTTCATTGACTGGTGCCATGTTTTCGTTTGACCACGGCTAGCCCTTTACCAGCCTGACCCTATATCAGCTAACATGGCCCGTCGAGGAAAGCGATGACTAGGCATACGTAGCACATGTCCTAACCATCTCAGTCGATGTAAATTCACAGTCTCGTCGACTGACTTCCCCTCCTTACCTAGCAGTCGACGCCTAACCTCAATACTGCTCACCTTATCATACCACTTCACGCGGGAGATAGGACGCAGACAACTATGATTGACGACAGCTAATCTTTTCAAGCCTTCTGCGCTCAATGGCCAGGTCTCACAGCCATAAAGGAGGACGGAGCGGACTGTTGAGCAGTACACACGCCCCTTGGTCGATAGTCGGATATCGCGTCTACGCCAGAGGTGGCGTAAACTGGCATATGCGAAACCAGCCCTCTGTATTCGTGTTGAGATTTCGTCGGGGATCAACCCGTTGGGGATGATGATACTTCCCAAGCAAGTGATGCGGTCAATGTGCTCTACCACTTCACTTCCTATTTCTAATCTAGGGGTCGGTGAAGTCCAATCCTGCAGCATCATCTTACATTTACAGGGGCGAATCGCATGCCAAACATACGAAGATTGTTGCTCAAGGTGTTCAGTAGACTCTGCATTTTGTCAGCGTCCTCGCCTAGAAGGACTATATCGTCCGCATATTCTAAGTCGCCGAGATTATTCCCTGGTAGCGAGTCAATCCCTGAGTCGCTGAAGTGTGTTAGGGTTAAGTCCATTAGTACGTCTATGATGAAGTTGAATAGGAATAGGGATAATGGGCATCCTTGACGGACGCCACTAGTCGTCACCACTTCAGATGACAACTCGCCACAAGCCCTCACCTGACCGCATCAGTACGAGTAGAGTGCTTTAATCAGTGCAATGTATTTTCTCGGCATTCCCTTTACAGCCAAGCATCGCCAGAGAACCTCTCGGTCGACAGAATCGAATGCCGCCTTTAGGTCAAGAAATATAATGATTGTTGGACGCCGGTAGGAATGCCTATGTTCTAGAATCTGTCGAAGGGTGAAGACAGATTCTAGAACATAGGCATATATATATATACTCAATACACAGTAAAAGCAAAATGTGAAAGAAATCGATTAGCGACTATAAATTCTTAACACAATAAAGAGAAGTGTATACATACATGTTAAGAAGTTTACTAACACAAAATAATAAGTCGATAAATTATAAAAATATCAAATGTATTAAGTTCACTGGAAAATCAGCTGTCTATTAAGAAATAGAATCATTCTATCTGACACGATAGATACGGCAAGCCAATCAAATGGATAACTTACAGTTTGATCCCGAACTGACTTCACTCAAGACCCCCTGCCAGCAAGAATCGAAGCCAAGACCTTCAAGATACAAGGCGAGATCTGTGATCACTCAGCCGTTGGCATAGAATCCAATGACCAGCCCATGAATTCTAACTTCTGTCAATTTCTCGCGATATTCAGTGCGACCACCAGCCAACCTCATCGGCCACTGGATTCTGTCTCAGCAGCTAAATGGTCAGAGACCTCGCCTTGTAACCCGAGGGCTTCGGGTTCATTCGCTTTTTGTGAGACTGTGGGTGCGTACTGTTCAAGAGTCCCGAACTAGAAGGAGACAGTTGTCCAGTACTCCCTAGTTTTTAATGTGCTTCTCTAACCGAAATCAATCAAATCCCTATATATGAAAGCACGCCACGATTTTCTAGATAGCCTCGAAAAATATAATTTATGTGACACTGTCAGTCATCACAACATATTAAAAAAAGACTAAACTTACTTGTGATGTCTTTTCAATTTCTGATGGAACTGTAACGAAAAAAAGGAAGAACAAAATAATAAATATACAGTAGTATGAATCCGATCAGAAAAAAATAAAAATAAAAATTAGATGTTATAGCATATGCTGTAATTATGGATTAAAAGCATTAGACGAATGTTATGACTAGAACAAAAGAAATGAGGCAAAATTAAAGCGTAGCTGTTATATAATGTAAGATTGATGTATATAAACCAATCAATAATACATATATTATGTTTCTTGTTTCAGTTAAGCATGCACTCATAGAAAACAGAACATACGTCTACCAGCTGAGGCAGGTACACTAGCCTTATCCTTCACAGATGAAGTAGAACTAGCTAGAGGAGAACGTTTGAGACCGGATAACTTTGAAGTTCATCCTATGATATGTATGATATCGAAAATTGAATGATGAAAAAGTGAAAAACAGAAATTTATCTGATTTATGAAAAATAAAGTCATGGTTGCATACAGAGTATAAACAAATTACCCGACGACAGATTTTTTTCCATAAAAAAAACTTTTTGATGGGTCACTGAAAACAAAATGCACTGGACGATAATTTCACTACATTTCTGTACAAATAGAATAGTTCAACGTCTCAGAGAAAGGACGTTGTCTTCGAATTAATTATTATGACCGAAATTAAAGGTAGTCAAAACTTACAAAAACAGTGACTGAATATAATCGAGTGGTGATCAAAGCTAGGACAAAACCCTCAGTAGCAGAACTTAAGCCAATGACTTCGATAACACGCAATGACTGAAATTTAAATGACATCAGTCACTAAATTTCAATCAGGTAGAGCTCAATTACCCGGAACAGATTTTCCATGTGCCAAACTAAGAGCCACACTCATTATGTGAGAACTGATGATACTATCCAATTGCCCAGGTTGAAGTAGATGGAGTGATATTCGAACCTCTGACCCATCAGTTGTACACCGAGTGCTTAGCCTAATGAACTTCATCTCCAGCAGAGCAATAGCAATGTGTCTGTTGTAAGGGTCAAGTGTTTTGGTTCAACCTAAAAAGTATAGCATGTGCATCAGCGAAAGACCCAAACGTAAGATAAAAAACTGATGGGCTAATCTATATTTCCAATAACATTTCAGATAATGTTGATTAGATTCACCTGTCTTAAAAATGACCTAGTTTCCAAAACTACTGAATGAAATGTCCCTGAGATTTGTCGCGTTCCTTTTTTGTACTACAGCTTTACAACAAACTGTCAGTAGTGTCATAATTGATAACATTATTTCAAAGTTACTTTAGTTCAAACACAATAATACTCAGTGGTGCATCGGTGGCACAGCGGTTAGGACTCTCGTCGACCATACACATGGTCTGAGGTTCGATTCCTTGCCGGCGCATACCTGATATCAATTGGTCGGCCTGCGAAATTCGGGCTACTGATATCACATGCTGAAAATTCCATACTTCTACCAAAAATACAGTATAGAATCAAGCTATAATAAAAAAAAGTCTAATATGAGGAAGCATTGATGATAAGTATCAAGAAACACGAAGTATTGGTCATTTAACTTTTTATTAGTTGATTTATATTATTAAAAACGGTTTGAAGAGCACAGCGACGTATAACTTTCAAACCTACTGAAAAAAGCTGATCAATCAGATTTCATCAACATGTGTAACGAAACAAAGTGAAATCAACTGGAATCCAATGAATGATAAATTCATGGAGAACTGAGTTAAATTCCAGTCAGTGGATAACGAATTGAAACACCGCTACACTAATTAAGGCATGAGCATCTCAGCTATGACATTAATTTCCATACAACAGACAGTTTTCTGTTTAGTATCACCATCTATAAATGGGTAATGAATTGAGTGTAGCAAAACTTCTAACTCCTTTATCAGGCAATACAAATGAAGTAAGCATACAAATCACTTCAGCTGACAAATAATGTTATTGATGTAAATAACACTATGTGCTCCCTTGGGGTTAAAATGCTACATTACATTACTTTTATACATATTAGTGATAAGATTCAAAACGAAGTAGATAAATGACGAACAGGCAGAAAATAAAACATTCAATACCTTTAACTGTCTCAGGAGTTTTCAATCCTACAGACAACGAAGATGTCGAACCAGCAAGTTTTGTAACTTCCTTTGATTCTGAAGTGGCACCTGATTCGGAAACAACGCTAGATGAGGATAACTTCATCACGTCTGATCTTTCCGGACCATCTAGAAGAGTAAGCTGGATAACAAAGGAGGAATAAATAAATTAGATTTTTTAATTGCAAGATGCATTCACGATCGATATTTTTGGACACAACCTGAATAAAGTACAACAAAATATATACTACTGTTGCGAATGAAATCTGATTAATACTTTTTAGGGGACCAGTTCATTGGACTAAAATATTTACCTGCCAAACAAAGAGATAAAACAAAGGACGCTGGATTCAAATTTAACAATAAATATTAGTTAATTTACTTTGTTACAAACTCCAGACTCATATCTGTCATGTTATTTGGTGTATAGGGACTATCAGTGGAATCCCGGAAGTACGTTCCCTCTCGTTTAGGACTCGTCATCTAGAGGTAACTGCAATCTCCAGTGTGTGTGATGGTATTTCTGCTGAGAATCAAACCCAGTCCCCGTCGTTTCAAACGCCAGTGTTAACGACTAAGCCACTTCGGCAGCAAATAACATCACTGTTGATCCTCAGACATCATCGGATAGTCCACATTCAGAGCCGCATGTCGACAGAAGCCAAACATTTCCGTTCAATTAATCAACGGGAAAAACAAGAATTGACTTACACAAAATGGAGAAAACTTATTACGGTTCACATTCTCAACTAATCATCGCAGAACCACCTGACACATTTTATAATATCACTCAAAGACAAACACTGTAAATAGTCCTTAACATAATAAAACAGAAAAATGGCACAATGCGGGACAAGAGAATTAAAATATGTCCTGGATATTGGACTATACAGTATTTGAATGGAGTCATATTACTATTATCCTACCATTATTAATACAAGGAGTTGCATGATTGTATGATGGTTCATGTATATATATATATATATATATATAAATGTAAGGTAATAAGAATGCGAATAGAGAAGTGATGTTAACAATGTAATCAGAAGTGGTAAAATATTGTGAAATAAAAGGACAGAAACAAAGTATGTGACAACACATTTAAAATAAAAAGATGAGAATACGTTTGCGTCTGTATAATTTATTTTGATCCCAATCACCCACAATCTTTAGTCACGAGTTTTGGTAGTCATTTCGACCACAGCAAGCAAGTTGCACTTTTCCAAACTAATTGGACTAACAGTCATGAATTCATTCATTGGCTGGGTACGGATACGGCCACCCTTGACTCAACAAGCCATGATAGGTGGTAAGTAGGCGTAACAAATGATAAAACCAATTTAGACGATTGACAGTTAATTTTCTATCAAAAAAGAGAGGTGGTGTGTAGAATAAATGAATGTAATCTTTGCAGACTCAACACTGATGACTAAACACTGCGATAATATAACGGCGCATACTGATATATTCTTGACGCCTAATAGGTATACAGATATTTCACTAAAGAAGTGGATAACGAAAATGAGACGGCCTTCACACTTCACCAATTGATAACAAAGTGACTTTCTAAAGTTGAAATAAGTGTCGGTTCAAACATTTGCGGGAGTGAGAAATTATATTTAGAAGAACCCAACTACCCGGAAAACATATTTAATGTACCCACCTACGAATTACGCACTATGTAGAGGCTTCTGATACTAATCAGTTGCTCAGGTTGCAGTAAGTGAAATGGGATTAGAGCCCGGTGTCCACTGGCTTGAAGGCAAGATCTAAAGCCAATGAGCACCAAGTCCAGTTTCTTAGAAAACAAGGAATATATCGCACACATTCCTAAAGTCTCACAAACCATTGGATAGACAATGTTTTAGCAGTATATTCTTCAGGGGGCGCACTCTGTCTGTTCTTTAAGATATTAAGGTATGGTTGAGACTAACAATCGGAAGTAAGGAAGAAAATCGACTGCCTGGTGCATATTGAAGCAAAGGCTGAGCAAGCATAAGAGTTATCGCCTTCTAAGGAAATGTTGCGAAACAACTACTCGACAGAAATGACAGTAAGTCCCGACATCATGTTGATTAAGCCCTTTGGATGCTCTAGTGTTATAAGCTCTATAGGCTGGAGACTACAGTTGGATTCAGTTCCCGGCGAAGTTAACGTATCACAGCCAAAGTCAAGGTCTGTCAAAAGTGGACATCCAAGAATCAATCAGATTTACGGAAATGTCATTCGAAATCAAATCATGCTTACGTTTAGAATTTGGCGAGAGTAGATACAGTATTCTACTTATTCCCCATGTACTTTTTCTGTGAATCTGTACTGCAGGTATGCTACGGTTATGGCTTTTAAGATTACGGTTACAGTTAGGTGTAGGTTAAAGAAGTGTCAGAAACATCAGTGGATTTCAAAGTATCACGATCAACAGTCACCTGGATGAAAACATCTATCACGCATGGTAAGACTTCTCTTTAGGTTGTCCGGTTAGCGACTGGGAGACATCCTTACAACACATAAGCGACAATTATTCAGTGTAATATCGTATTCACAATGTGCATTAATGCATTTTCCACAGATTATGCGACCTGTTTTCATCTGAATTCTGATTGGTTGCCCAAAGTCACTGTAATTTTGGTTATGATAGTTTAACTTCGCCTAGGTTCCAATAAGTGTGCCTGCAGAGTAAGAATACCAGCAGACTAAATATTCAGTTGGGAATCCAGTTTCATGGGGCTGGGAATACCTTTTTATAATCTGATATAAATACGGAGTGCAAGGACTGAAAAAGCTAAATAGGGTAATGCGAAATTGATGAGAAAGATATTATGGAGCCCCTGATAGTAAAGACTTCTTATAATATGCATTAGCTGACACATAGAGAGATGCAAGCAATGCATAAAACCGTTTAAAATAAAACATACCTGAGATGGGCGCACAAATATCCCAAAATTTTCCTCACATATAAAGTAGCGTTCCCCCTGAACCGTGCCGTTGTTCTTCCCTTTGGGCTCGTCTAGTATTATACCCACCCATTTTCCTAAGTCCGCGATGAGAACAAAAATTTTTACCTGGTGAGAATTGTGTTACTCCGACAAAA